ACAAGTCTCCCCTTGCTTTCCACATTGACAAGTCTCCCCTTCCTTTCCACATCGACAAGTCTCCCCTTCCTTTCCACATCGACAAGTCTCCCCTTCCTTTCCATATCAACAAGTCTCCCCTTCCTTTCCATATTGACAAGTCTTCCCTTCCTTTCCATATTGACAAGTCTCCCCTTGCTTTCCATATTGACAAGTCTCCCCTTGCTTTCCATATTGACAAGTCTCCCCTTGCTTTCTATATTGACAATCTCAACGTTCTGAGATCTGTTTTAGGTTGCCAGGGTCAATGAGTGCTCTGCTTTCTGATGATATTTTCAGCATTTCGAGCCTTTGAGGTTCATTGCCTCCATTCCTCTCTCTGGTTGGCCTTCTCTTTCCAGTTAGTGACATCAAGTGTTTGCAGGTCTGTCTGGATATTTCCTGGTCTGCCTTGTGGCTTATGACCATTCAGCTCCCTTGTGTATACAGTTTACCTCTCTGTCATCTGACATTCTCTCAAAATGCCCCAGCCATTTCAGTCTATTAGCCTTCATGATAACCAGTAACCAATAGTGATTTAAACAGATTACAAAAATCACTGCTGCTTCTTACTGTCCATTCCCTACTGTCTGCATATTTGATGGGTCCTAAGATTCACCGTAAGACTGTTAAACATTTTTTTGAATAAGGCTTCATCTCTTTTAGTTGTGCTCCAAGTTTCAGAGCCATATAAAACAATTACCCAGACCTCAAGGGTGTGCTGGGAAGACAACATCTCTAACTGACAGAGGGGTGGGGTGGAATTGAACAAAGCCAGAAAAAAAAATGCTGATAGGGGCATCTGGCGATCTCTCTGGCAAACCTCTTCACCCCAAGGTAGAAGAGGAGCGACTAAGTAAGTATAAAACAATTACTCATATCAGCGTTGTATATATTATAATATGTGATTATAATTGAATTACACATGCAGTGATCTTACAAAATAAAGAATATTTTATGTAATTTTTTTTGGTCAATTGAGACGAGATAGAGATTTCTTAAAAGCTATATCAATTTTATCTTGATCTACGGAAGTGAATCATGGGCAGTTGGTCCAAAAATTATTTAGAAGCTGCAGAGATGTGGTTTTATAGACGAATGATGAGAATACCCTGGACTGATAAAAAGAGTCATGAGGATGTTTTGAAAGAAACTGACACACGAAGAGAACTGATTGCCCTCATCAGGAAGAGACTATCTACATTCTTTGGTCATGTCATGAGAAGGAGAAAACTGGAGTACATCATAACGGTGGGAAAGTTAGAGGGAAGGAGAGGCAGAGGGTGACCTAGACAAGGTTGAATTTAGAAACGACATCACAGCACTCAGGACACTCTCATAAGTGCTCAGTTCCCATCTTCAGCAGCAAGCAAAGACTTCCAGTTCCAATGGTACCAGTAACCGTCGGATTGTATATTCGTCTCATCCTTCTCCTGAGTGTTGAGCGACGGCCAGATCCCCTGGTAACTCCTCGCAGTGCCATTCTCCTCAGACCGCAATGATCTATCTGCGCCTCTGCACTGTTCACTCGCTCCCAAAGGGCCCTCACAATACATCATTTGAGCTAGAAAAAAGATGCTGGACAGTTTGACATCACGGCAAGGAGGATCATCTTTGTCACAGGAGACTAAAAAGTACACGAGACAGAAGGCTGTGGATAGACATGACTACAAACGCATGGACTTTAAGAAGAAGACACATGCTGTTATTTGTAGCTGGCACCTCTCCATAGCTCCAGGTGATACTGTTATTTTGTGCTATAAGGTGGCGTGGAAATCACAGCACATGGTGAAGGGAAGTGTGAGTAGCAAGACCTGTTCGTGTTAACTCTTTGAGTCCCAAGGAACGCATCATCCGTACATAGGTTACTGTCTAGAAGCCGAATCAACGCATGATGCACCGATTTTGCGTCTCTCTTGACTACCCCTGGGGCCTGTGATGCTAAAACTTTTGGGACTCAAAGAGTTAAGAAACGGTTTACTCATTTTCAGAGCATGGGATTTCAGGACAAGTGTTGCCATACGACAGGGCTATTCAACTGGAGGCCCATGGATCGAATCTAGCCCACAGAGGCCTAGCAAGTGGCCTACGGCTCATTGTTAACTGTACTGTATTAGGGATAATTCTGTTCTGTGGTTCGAGCCTCTGACCATCTTGTCTGTTTGCACCGGAGCTCTCCCGTATCTGGGTGCATATGAATGTGTAAGTGAGTGAGCGAGTCTGCGTATGTATGTGGGTGTGTGTGTACCCATGCTTTTGTATTTTTGCTTGATATTCACAATACAGTCGAGCCCACTTAAGTTGAACTCGGATAAGTCAAAATTTTGGTTAAGTCGACATGACCAGCTTAGTCCTGGCAATTTTCTCTATTGTGTGTGCTGTCTGGATAAGGAGAAATCCTGATAAGTGGAAGCATTTATTAGGTCCCTGCGACATTCACTTATCCAGACTCGAATGTATGCACATTTTCATATGAACATAACATGCTTTATTAATAAACTACAACTGCTGTGTGAAAGATGGGTGTTTGGAAGCGCCGAATGTTATACAGGCCTGTGTGCTTAATTAGTGACCCTTTGAAAACAAAGTCCGTTCGTTTGCTGCACCCGGAATGATCCCCATTTTCAATATTTTGGCCCCTGAATAAACCCTGCCATACAACAACTAATAATATAGATGACATGAACTATATATAATATTTGTGAAACAGTGTATCCCAAACTTGTCTTAGTCCAGCGCCTTTTGTCAGTTAAAAATTTTTCCACGTCGCCCTAACCTAAATAAAAATATGACTATTCGTATGTTAGAGATTAAAAAAAAACTCATGTATCTTTGAATATATCGTGGTGCCCCCGTGAAGAGGTCGCGGTTTCCTGGGACACCGCAGCGCACAGTTTGGGAATCACTGTTGTGAAAAATATATTATTTATAAACTCTCAAGTAATGAAAGGATCATTTATAATATATCAATGTAAAATAAACTGTCATTTATAGGTGAATAAATCACAGCTAAACGGTCAAGTGTATAAAATACAAACAGGCATATGCTGTATAACTGGCCCTTCAAACCGAACAAAATTAATGACCTACAACAATTATGTGGCGATGTCAGTTGCATTAATGGCTTGCTACATAATGATCATGTTATCAACAAAGAAGTCAGTTGTGATATAATTACAAACTGTACAGTGACATAACTGTCAATGCTGTTTTGGTAGGTACAAATCTCTGTGTGGGTTCCCTGCCTCCCTCATCATAGTCATTTTACTGTTGTACCATCCCTGTGTGGGATTCCTGCCTCCCTCATCATAGTCATTTTACTGTTGTACCATCCCTGTGTGGGTTTCCTGTCTCCCTCATCATAGTCATTTTACTGTTGTACCCATCCCCGTGTGGGTTCCCTGCCTCCCTCATCATAGTCATTTTACTGTTGTACCATCCCCGTATGGGTTCCCTGCCTCCCTCATCATAGTCATTTTACTGTTGTACCATCCCCGTGTGGGTTCCCTGCCTCCCTCATCATAGTCATTTTACTGTTGTACCATCCCCGTGTGGGTTCCCTGCCTCCCTCATCATAGTCATTTTACTGTTGTACCATCCCCGTGTGGGTTCCCTGCCTCCCTCATCATAGTCATTTTACTGTTGTACCATCCCCGTGTGGGTTCCCTGCCTTCCTCATCATAGTCATTTTACTGTTGTACCATCCCCGTGTGGGTTCCCTGCCTCCCTCATCATAGTCATTTTACTGTTGTACCATCCCCGTGTGGGTTCCCTGCCTCCCTCATCATAGTCATTTTACTGTTGTACCATCCCCGTGTGGGTTTCCTGCCTCCCTCATCATAGTCATTTTACTGTTGTACCATCCCCGTGTGGGTTCCCTGCCTCCCTCATCATAGTCATTTTACTGTTGTACCATTATGTCATATAGGGCTCGCAGTCTATTCCTCCTTTCAGATCCATCTAGTACAATCTCTCTGAAAGCATGGATGGAATCCAGTCCAGCACCTTTGGCCTCTCTCATCAACGTTCATTTTAGGGTTTCTTTTGAACGCCTTCGCTTCCTCAATCCCCTTTTTCCCCATTTTAGTGCCTGTCTGGTGATAAAGTACAGATCCTGCGCCCCTATACTTAACCCTGTGCCCCCTATACTTAACCCTGTGCCCCCTATACTTAACCCTGTGCCCCCTATACTTAACCCCGTGCCCCCTATACTTAACCCTGAGCCCCCTATACTTAACCCTGAGCCCCCTATACTTAACCCTGAGCCCCCTATACTTAACCCTGAGCCCCCTATACTTAACCCCGTGCCCCCTATACTTAACCCTGTGCCCCCTATACTTAACCCTGAGCCCCCTATACTTAACCCTGTGCCCCCTTTACTTAACCCTGTGCCCCCTATCCTAAACTCTGTGCCCCCTACACTTAACCCTGTGCCCCCTTTACTTAACCCTGAGCCCCCTATACTTAACCCTGAGCCCCCTATACTTAACCCTGAGCCCCCTATACTTAACCCTGAGCCCCCTATACTTAACCCTGAGCCCCCTATACTTAACCCCGTGCCCCCTATACTTAACCCTGTGCCCCCTATACTTAACCCTGAGCCCCCTATACTTGACCCTGTGCCCCCTTTACTTAACCCTGTGCCCCATATAAAATAATAAACTGTCAACTTAAATAACATTTCTTATAACAAATTAACTATTTTATAATCTTTTTTATATAGGCAGTGTCATTAATAATACATAAACAACATGTCAATTGTTATTTATATTTGCATAACATAAAATAACAGAATTTACAGACAAATGCAAATTCATAAATAAATATTTCACACAACTATACTAAAGAGGAAGTAACATTTGGTAAGACCCACACTAACTATACAATAATCAATCACACAACTATTCTAAGGATGAAATAACATTTGGCCAAATATACTAACATTTAATAACACCCTGTCAAAAGTCTGATTGAGATCAAATCTAACTTTGGTGGCGGGACGCCTTGTCCAGGTCAGAAAGGCGAGCCAACCTGGCATCCTCCCAGCGTCGAATAAATTGATAACAAAATAACAACAGCCCTCCAGAGATCATGTTCAGCGACAGAATGACGATCACACTGGTGAACGAGCCAGTCTGATCTTTGACCCAGCCTGAAAGTTAAATAACACACTAGGTGAGAATGATAAAAGAGAGAAATATTGATAGATAGGTAGACAGACCGATATACAGATAAATAAACAGACAGATATATAGATAGACAGATAGATAAACAAACAAAAAGATAAACAGATAGATAGACAAACAGACATATAGATAGATAGATAGATAGATAGATAGTTAGATAGATAGATAGATAGATAGATAGATAGATAGATAGATAGATAGATAGATAGATAGATAGATAGATAGATAGATAGATAGATAGATAGATAGATACATAGATAGATAGATAGATAGATAGATAGATAGATAGATAGATAGATAGATAGATAGATAGATAGATAGATAGATAGATAGATAGATAGATAGATAGAAAGATAGAGAAAGATAGACAAACAGACAGATAGATAAATAGATAGACGGACAGACAGACAGACAGATAGGTAGGTAGATAGATAGATAGATAGATAGATAGATAAATAGATAGACGGATGAACGGACAGATAGGTAGATAGATAGATATACAGAGCGAGTTACAGATAGAATGAGAGAGTAAGAAAAAAGAGAGAGAGCGAGCGAGGATTAGATACAGAGTCAAGGAGACAGACCTGGACATGGAGGATTAGGAAAGCGACAACTGAGAATGAGCAAGAGAAGAAGAAACATAGAGACTAGCAAACAAGAAGAATAAATACATTTAATATTTCTTCTTCTTCAGCATTCCAAGCTCTTGCTGCAGATATCACCCAGCTCCATTCTCCTTCTGGTCTTTTCTTTTCAGTTAGTGACACCAAGTGTTTGTAGGTCTGCCTGGATATTATCTGTCCATAATCTTCTTGGTCTGCCTCGTGGTCTACTCCCATTCAACTCTTTTGTGTACGCAGATTTAGTCTTTCTGTTATCTGCCATTCTCTCTTTATGCCCCACATACAGCAGTCTGTTAGCCCCCATAATGCCAGTAATTAGTGGCGATTTTAACTGGCTATGAATTTTGCTGTCGCTTCTCATACTCCATTATCTGCTGCACAAATCTTTGTTTGGTCCTAAGATGTAGAAATAAACAAAATACATAATATAATCACTTCCAAGGGTGAATTTCAAAGGAGGTCGGTCCTGTTTAAGGTGAAATGGTCTTTTCCAAGGTTGAAATCAAGGCCCAAGGACAGAGACGCAAATTCAAGGTCAAAATCAAGTCTCACGGTCAGCTACAAACCCTGACTTTAGCATCATCTCTTTACATGGTTTGTGTTGTTGTGGTCTGACTTCTGTTTTTACCTGTTAATTAAAGCTTTTAACTGCAATGTTCTTGACAGATTCTACTTATAATTTAGAGAGGCTGACCCCACATATCGACATCCCAAAAGATCAAAACATCAAGGAAACTTAGCCTGTCAACAGCATCTTGTCTCGGAAAGTGAAAAACTCTGGCCATGTCAATCAAGCGCCCTGGTGGAGTGAAGAGAACAGCAGCAGAGGGCAAGGTGACAGATAAGAGAGGCAGGGGCCGACCACCATGAACATGGGCACAGGAGACATTGTGGGTAGGAAAGTGCATGAGGTGGGACAGCTGGCAAGGAGCCAAGTTTATTTCAGGCAGACTGTTATGACAGTGACGCTCTATAGAGGTCGCCCACTACATGATGATGTTGACCCACATTTCACATGTATGGATAAGATCCACAGAGTGATCTTCAATGGATGCAATCCTCTCTTTTCTTGGCTTTCCCTAAACAACTAAGCAAGCACAGTCGGTCTCCATGGTGAAGTGGTCAAGCCGTTTGTCTTGCGCTCTGAGCATATGGGATCATTTCTCGGCTGCAACCTTCAGTTCACAGGCACAATTTTTATTGAGATCCCTGGGGATCATCGCCTGAGTTACAGAGTTCGTTCTCTGTGCACAGCTCTCGGCAAGGAGCTACTTATTCTGTGTTGAGAGACCAAGCCATATGGGATAAAACCAGGTGCAATAAAGTCGATTCTCTCGACTTTAACCTTTAACTAAAGCTCTCAATTAATGCTAAAATTTTTACATTAAAAAAAAAAAAACATTGTAGACAGTCATACCTAAAAAGATCTGGCCAACTGCTGCTCCAACTCCTTGAATCAACAAGACGATGGCCAGGTTTTTAGCCATCAGCTGCACCCCGACAAAGTCCACGAGGACCACCGACATCAGGCAGACGTAAGCTCCTCCAAGGAAACCGTAGCAAAAGCAGTGAAAGGCCAACCAGGCAAAAGTGTCCGCATAAATAAAAACGAAGATGTTGATTCCGCTAAGCACACATGCCATGGCCTTCAACTGGTAACGAGGAATGAGGTTAAGGTCGGCAATAAACCCGGTACCGATCCTGGCAATGAGGTCGCCTATTCCACATATAGAAATGAGCAATGCATTATGGTACTTTGTGATTCCTTTAGCGTTATTAATTGCTGGCAGAAAAAGAATATGGTTGAAGTAGCCGAAGAAACAAAGAAATGAAACAATGATGAAGTAAATGGTAATGTAGCTCTTCAGAACTGAAAAATCAAAAATACGTCTCAAGCATGAAATGGACTTCTTGTCTTTGATGGCATCAAGTCCGTGTGCTTTGCTATCCACAACAGAAACATCAAGAGTACTTGGCGACACAAGAAAGACACTTCCTGTGCTGGCCAGTAAAACTTTCCGCTCTAGGTAACTTTTCGCATCATCATCATCGTCGTCTAGTTGGTCAACTGAAGGTGAGTCTCCTTCACTGACATCGAGTTCAAGCGTGTCCACCTCCACAAAGGACACAACACACTTTCTTTCCTTGTTAACGCTGTTTCTGTTATTTGAATGATGGACAGCATGATCAAGGGCTGCGGCAGACACCTCTGTGAGAGCATCACGGCCGTTTCTTGCACTAGGGGTATCTGTAAGTGTGGCATGACCATTCTCTGGGCCGGGAGCATCTGCAATAATGTCTGGTTTCCTGACATCTTCTTGAAACTCACCGTGTTCAGGTGAAGAACTTACAAGAGCCTAAGGGATAACAAAAAGCGAGTTAATTTAACACTAACAAAGAGAGACTATTAATGATAACAAAGAGTCAATTAATGTTAACAATAACACAGAGAGACTATTAATGATAACAAAGAGGGAATTAATGTTAACCATAACAAAGAGAGACTTTTAATGATAACAAAGAGGGAATTAATGTAAACGATAACAAAGAGAGACTATTAATGACAATAAATAGGGAGTTCATGTTAATGATAATAACAAGGAGCTATTAATGACAACAAACAGAAAGTTAATGTTAACAAATTGTCTCATGTGTTTCGAAACACAGGACATCAAAATGTCCGTCAATGGTTGCTTGTAATGGCATTGGTCATATTTGCCTTGAGATGATTTATGCTTCGATGGAGCTGGACTTTTTTCTTTTTCTTAAACAACAATGACCATGGTTCGCCCAGCCTTAAATGGCTAAATAGGTACCAGGTAAAGTCCTGGGAAGTAAAGGAGACTGGCGTGACACTGACCACATCACCCATCGAGAGCTGACTGGTCTATAAAATATAGGTCTAGCCCTATATGCCCAATGCGCCTGAAGGTGTTGATAAGGATCCTGTTACGTTCTTCAAATGCCCTGAAAGATAAAATCAAGTGGGGTAGGATCAAGGGGTTGGGGAGGCCACTCCATAGAAACATGCCAATTCATCCAACAAAGTCAATAAATTCAAACATCTGGGAACAATCATATTATCAAATGGAGATTAAAAGCAGAATAGTTCAAGCGAAAGCTGCATTTCAGAAAATGAAAAATATCTTATGCAATAAATTGCTCTAATTTAATGTCAGAAAGATGGTGCTAAAGTGTTACATAAAACCTGTTCTGCTGTATGGCAGCAAATCTTGGAATGTCAGTGAATGAATTAGGAAGAATTTTCAAGCAACAGAGATATGGTTTCTGAGACGAATGTTATGAATTCCTTGGACGGCCAGAGTAACTAACAATGATTGCTTGAAAGAAGCCAATGAAAGTAGGTCTCTACATCAATAAGAAAGAGACAAACACTGTTCTTTTGCCACATAATGAGAAGACAACTAGAAAGATCAGTGGAAAAAGTGGTAGAAGCAGACCGAGAGAGATGATGCTGGAGAAGCTGAAACGATGGCATGAAGGGATATCATCAAGAGAGCTATTCCAGGCAACCAGGGATCGTGATTTGTGGAGACGAATGAGTGCCAACGCCAGTTGGCAAGGCACATGATCATGATGATGAATATATTTCAACTGTCTTTTTTTTATTTCTTTCACTAATTCTCTTTTCATTCACAGTCATTCCAGAACCTCTGTATTGGACTGTTTTTGTTTTCATCAAATACAACCTATTCTAATTTATATCCATGTTTCAGAGACATTCAATTTTCTAGTTGCTTGTTCATTTTCCAAGTTTCAGCATCATACAGCACGGTTAAGTATGCATAACATTTGACAATTCTTATTTTTAATGAGTTGCTTATCACTCAGGCTTTCAATGATTTGCGCATCTTATTGAAGAGAGTTTTAGCCATTCCTATTCGATTTTTGATTTCTGTTTCACTTCTGCTATCGTCTGTTACTAAGTGTCCTAGACAGAAGACAACAAATGTATGCAAGGTGCAAATATTAGGTGTCACGCACTACTCTCACACATGATATACTTACTAGCTTTATATAACAGAAGGTGCGTATATTAGGTGTCACGCACTACTCTCACACATGATATACTTACTAGCTTTATATAACAGAAGGTGCGTATATTAGGTGTCACGCACTACTCTCACACATGATATACTTACTAGCTTTATATAACAGAAGGTGCGTATATTAGGTGTCACGCACTACTCTCACACATGATATACTTACTAGCTTTATATAACAGAAGGTGCGTATATTAGGTGTCACGCACTACTCTCACACATGATATACTTACTAGCTTTATATAACAGAAGGTGCGTATATTAGGTGTCACGCACTACTCTCACACATGATATACACTAGCTTTATATAACAGAAGGTGCGTATATTAGGTGTCACGCACTACTCTCACACATGATATACTTACTAGCTTTATATAACAGAAGGTGCGTATATTAGGTGTCACGCACTACTCTCACACATGATATACTTACTAGCTTTATATAACATAAGGTGCGTATATTAGGTGTCACGCACTACTCTCACACATGATATACTTACTAGCTTTATATAACAAAAGGTGCGTATATTAGGTGTCACGCACTACTCTCACACATGATATACTTACTAGCTTTATATAACAGAAGGTGCGTATATTAGGTGTCACGCACTACTCTCACACATGATATACTTACTAGCTTTATAAAACAGAAGGTGCGTATATTAGGTTGAATGTTAAATTAAGAATCGACATCACAGCACTCGGGACACTCCCATAAGCACTGTCTCCATCTTCAGCAGCAAATGAAGAGTTCCAAGTCCAATAGCACCAGTAACTGTCTGATTGTACATACGTCATATATTACTTGTGACGCACTTCCCTTACCTGTGAAACACTATCTTTACATAACAGAAGGTGCAAATATTAGGTGTGACACACTACCTTCATACTTGATACACTACTTTTACACATGAAATGCTACCCTCAAAAGTGATGCACTACCGCCCACAAGTGATGCATTACAATCATAAGAAAACCAAAGTAGTGTAAGAAACGTCACTTACCATTTTATCATCCTCTGCTACTTTCTCTCTCTCACACGCAGCTTTGACTGGCGACTCCACGGGACCATACTGTTCAATTGGTCGGAACAATGCTCCCGAAATGGCACAATGGCCGTACAGAGCCCCAATAATTAGAAGAGTTCCACTTAGTCCGTACGTCTCTAGGAGGTACTCGATGATCGGAGGCATGGCAAACTGACCAATGCTGGCTCCGGCCAAACCCAGGCCAGTGGCCAGCGACCTGCGAGTGCGGAAGTACTTGCCGATCATGACAAGACCATTCCCATAGAAACAAGAATTGCCAATGCCTGAAAGACAATTTAAAGCACGAGTTAGTCATTTTAAAAGAAACGCATGTTCATAATTTTCTCCTTTTATTTTCCGAATGTAAATGATGATGATGGAGGGGTATATGCCTGGGAAGAGAGGAAGAGGAAGGCCAAGGAGAAGATGGGTGCAGGATGTGGCAGATGATCTCCAGATGGGTGTATCAGACGCAGGACATCTTGCTCAGGATAGGAAGGTTTTCCGGAGGGTTGTTATGGCAGCGAGGTTCCGCGAGGGACATGCTACTGAATGAATGAATGAATGAAATGATGATGAAATTGTTCAAGAGTGCAATATGACTGCAACCTTAAGAAAGCTTCATTAAAAAAATGTATTTTGTTCTTTGTATCTGCCTCTTGTTAATTAGATATATCAGTGAACTGAACAGGCAGACAGACTGGCTGGCTCTGCACAACTTGGTGGAATTCTGCTACATGATAGGGCAGACGTGGTTAGTGCCTTGTGGGAGAGCATGTACAATTCAGAGGAACAGATAGATCACCATAGTCTGGTGAGATTGATGCAGAGGGGAGTGACGAGAGGTTCTGGCAGATGCTCGAGGCTCAGAGGAAAGGCAAGACGGACGTTTAATCAGAAAGCTACTGGCACTATTAGTATCGGAACTTTTTGCTGGCTGCTGAAGACATGGACAGAGCGCTTATGGGAAATGCCCCGAGTGCTGTGATGTCGGTTCTTGAATAAAATAAAATAAAATAAAATCAGGTATATCTGTGTTGTCAAAGGGTGACAACCTAGGTTCAAATCCTTGGTAAGGCTGTGGATGTTTTGATCGGGGACAAAAATAAAATCTCTGTTTAGTTCTTCCCAAAAGCTCAACATTAGTGATTCATATCATTTAATTTCCTCCCCGTGTGGGTGCCGAAGAGTCGACTAATTGGAAGCTTCCTTCGAAGTGGGAGTGCATCTGCCTGAGAGGCAAGGAACCAGCAGTCTGCATACAAATTAGTCGGATCTGTAAAACGGATGCACACGCAACACTCAGGTTCTGGAACAGGACTGCAGTCTAGAGGTGGATGATCAGCCAGAACTTTCCGCTGGAGTTTACAGCCGACGAACACGAAGAAGAAGAAGATTAAATTTCCTTTTATTGTGTGCATGCAACAGTTAATGACTGTTTGTAGTTTATTAGTAACTGTTTAAGTTGTTCTCTATAATTCAGCTCCATCCAGCAGTACTCTTATTTCTTCTTCTTCGCGTTCACCAGCTGTACACTCTGAAGGAAAGTTCTGGTTGCTCGTTCACTACTGAACTGCAGTCCTGCTCCAGAACCTGAGTGTTGCGTGTGCATCAGTTTTACAGATCTCAATATCTTGAATACAGACTGTTGGTTCCTTGCCTCTCCGGCAGATGCACTCTGACTTCAAAGGAAGCTCCCCAATTAGTCGACTCTTACGACATGCTTTTGGGGAGGCAGTGGGTCTATTCTTGTTTTCCCCACAATGGGTCCCCGGAACCCACACGAGGGGACAGCAGTACTGATTTGACATTAGAGTTAAACTGGGCTTTTTTTTCTAGAAATAAGATTCCAGTACTAAAAAAAATGTCTTTGTTTGTTTTAGTATCCAGAAGCCATGAGTTGTTAACCCTTAGGCTTGGTATTATGGATATCGCAACCTTTCAACCTTGATTCCATATTGATTAAATACCGTAAATCTGGGAGAAATGTGGCTTTTCTGCCCACCCCCGGGAGTGAACCCGGACCACAAGAAGTTCGTCACCCGCTCACAAAAATGTCTTTCAAAAAGTGCTGTTACCACAAAGTGTATATTATAGCAGTGATGAAAAAACTTCTTTAAAAAAAAAAGGTGCTGGTACTGCGTACTGCTGTGTACTGCCAGAAAAAAAAGGCCCTGCAGTTAAATATTTTAACTAAATATGTAGTAGTAGTAGTAGCTGCTGTTGTTATTAAAGGAGAAGTAGTAATTTTTCAAAATATCCTGGGGTGATAACTGGGATATAAAGAGTTTGAATTCTCAGAGTATATATTTGTTATTTTATATACTGTGTAATTATTTATTTAAGACAATTATTTTATTTGTACTGTTTCACATACTGCTTAAATTTGGGTTATGGTTGTAATATAAACTTTATGTACTATGAACATTAAATATCAGCCAAATACGAGCTTCTGTGCCACTGTTTTCAAATATAAAGGCCTCGATTATCGCTAAGTAGTCGATTTCGTCATTGTTTATTTGTTTCTCATTATTTTCGAGTTTTTAGCCGCCATAATATGTTGCCGTTATTTGGAGGACAGCCTACGAGACCAAACAAGAAACAAAGACAAGACCCCCCCCCCCCCCCCCCAAAAAAAAAACAGCAGCACTACCTACCCACACAGACTCCATACATAACAATGATGTAACCCATGCTGACCAACAGGCTGCACAGAGAAACGCCAACCAGCGTAACCGTGGCCCCGATGATGACAACCTTCTGTGGAGTTATCACCTCCCCAGCAATGATGGCCGTGGGGGCTGTGAACAACACAAAAAGTAAAAAGTAATGGATCCTTTTATAGAAATGAGAGCTATAAAGATAAACAACAACATAAAATAAGTCAGTAAAGTAAAAAGTAAAGAATCCTTTAATAGCAGTGGGAGCTGTAAAGATGAATGCAACAGCATCAAATAAGCCAGCAAAGTAAAAAGTAATGGATCCTTTTATAGCTATGGGGGATGTAAAGATAAACAACAACAGAAGTAGAAAGTAAAGGATCCCTTTTTACGTCTGTGGCACATCGGGCATGACATGCTGGACTCATTTTTTAAAACCAGTCGGCACACGACAGGTCATGTGGTCAATATCTTCTTGACCACTTCTTCAATGTCCACTTTATTTTGCATACATATATTTTCTTTTGCATTCATGAATCTTTACTTTTCCATCCATCAATCTTTTCTTTTCCATCCATCAAACTTTACCTTTCCATTCATCAATCTTTTCTTTTCCATCCATCAATCTTTTCTTTTCCATCTATCAATCTTTTCTTTTCCATCCATCAAACTTTTCTTTTCCATTCATCAAACTTTACTTTTCCATCCATCAATCTTTTCTTTTCCATCCATCAAACTTTACCTTTCCATTCATCAATCTTTTCTTTTCCATCCATCAAACTTTACCTTTCCATCCATCAATCTTTTCGTTTCCATCCATCAAACTTTTCTTTTCCATTCATCAAACTTTACTTTTCCATCCATCAATCTTTTCTTTTCCATCCATCAAACTTTACCTTTCCATTCATCAATCTTTTCTTTTCCATCCATCAAACTTTACCTTTCCATCCATCAATCTTTTCGTTTCCATCCATCAAACTTTACTTTTCCATTCATCAATCTTTTCTTTTCCATCCATCAAACTTTACTTTTCCATTCATCAATCTTTTCTTTTCCATCCATCAAACTTTATTTTTCCATCCATCAAACTTTACTTTTCCATCTATCAGCCTTTACATTTCCACCAATCAACCTTTACATTTTCACCAATCACTCTTTACTTTTCCATCCATCAATCTTTTATTTTTCATCCAACAAACTTTACTTTTCCATCTATCAACCTTTACATTTCCACCAATCAATCTTTACATTTCCACCAATCAATCTTTACATTTCCATCAATCAATCTTCACCAATTTTCTTTTCCATCCATCAATCTTTATTTTTCCTATCCATCAATCTTTACTTTTCCATTAATCAATCTCTACTAAAGATTAAACAACACTCCTACTTCTGAGTCAACCCTTAAATATGCAGCTGGCATGTTGCGTTACGGTCTATAGCTAGCTATTCTGTGTGATATGTACATCTTTCAGCTCAACACAGCTGCTTAAGCATATCCCTATTCTGTAGCTTTTTATGCCATGCTTGTGCATGCGGTTTATCCCCTCTGGGCTTCTACCGGAAGGTTTACCATCCTGAGATAAAAAATTTCAACACGGTAAATCTTAGATGCCTTGTTTAACCTCCAAAGAAGGATGTATATGTAAGAAGTTTGAAGTTTGAACAACAGACCACGGGCAGTAACCCATAAGTGCTCCATTCTTCTTCAAACTCAAATCTGAGTTCAAAGAAGCTCAGCACAGTGCACAGACTCTGTAGCACCGGCGGGGATCCTGAAATATTTTGGGTAGATTTTAAACTCTAAATTTTGCCTGGGCAGAATCGCTAGGCAAATTTCTTTTTTTTAATTTCTAACTGCCAAGGGATTTTTTTTTTTACATGCGCAACAATGCACAAAGACGGCCGATCTTACTACCCAGAGACCAGGGGGAATTACTAGAAGTCCCAGTTCATGTAAAAAAAAACACAGCCCTTACTGGGGATTGAACCCAGTACCTCCAGCACTCAAGGTGAACACCATGCCTTGAGACCACACAGACCCCGTATATGTAAGGAATTCTTGTTAAGGAAGCAATGAGACTAGCCACCCCCGCCCAAATGTTTGGGCTCCAGAACCATATAGGGACAACATATAAACAGACATAACACACATATCCCCATACAGACCACATACCTCCCAGTGAGTACACAAAAGCCGTCAATGAAACGGGCATTGCCGCGTAAGCCGTACTAACACCAAAGTGCTTCTGAAAGGCCAACAGAAACAGACCATACGACTTGGCGATACCCACCATGAAGAAGACACAGATAAAAACTCCTGAAACAGTCAATAAATCCAGTTTTTAACATTTATATAACCAACATATACTATCAGCATTATCAAAGTCCCATAATACTGCGCTTCGTTGGGTCACCTGCTGCTGCTGACCGTCTGATCAGCTTCCTCCATCTTTGCAATGGACTTGATGTCTGAATGTTTGAGGTCTGTCCATTCGGTCAAATTCTGTATCCAAGTCTTTACTGGTCTGCCTCTTCTTTCTCTATACAAAGCTCTGTAGCTTAGTTTTGAAGGGGTCAGTAAATGCAAAGATGCAACAAAGCCAGTCAAGTTTTAGGCCAAATGACACCAATTTTGAAATGCAAAAAATGTGAATATGAACACGAAAGGAACACTGTTCAACACAATATTCTTACCCAAGCTCTGCTATCAATGTCAAACATTGACACTGTCTTCAGAGGACAGAAGAAAAATAGTCATGACAGAAATGAAATGTTTACGTACTATGCTCGGGGGTAACGAGGACAGATCGATGATATCAGGAGGAGAGTCAGCACAGAACCAAAGCCGAACTTTATAGGTAGACAACAAATCAAATGGTTTGGCCATGTAACAAGATTGGCAGCATACAGGGCACCACAGAGAGCAATGTTATACAGATACAGCAGTAACAGAGCCAGAGGCCAACCAGGCAGAAAATAGACCGATATCAGAGAACAGAAGGGCCCGTTCCAGAGATCTCTTCCTGCTCTGATGCTGTGAGGCCTTCCAGGTGTAGAGAACAGAAGAAGAAGTAACATTATAAATTGGCATCTGAGACAAGTTTTTCAACCCTGGCATAGCCCAAACTCTCCAGGCAGTCACTGCCCCAGTTACCCTATATCCTCCATAATTCATTTACCACTGTACTGGTAGTCTGGTCTGGTAATCTTAATTTCAGCTTCATAGCAAACGGGTCACCCCATCTTTGCTCCGCATCTGTGCCAAAGAAAAACACTCAGAATGTTTATCACAGTATTAGAATTGCAGTTCATCATTGATGGTAGCAGAAGTCGCCAACAGATCAGCAGTTGCCCACGCGATCAATTTTAATCACATACGGGCACCACAACACTGCACGACAGGCATCGCGCCATTTTCTGAATCTACAATTCACACCAACACGTTGGTCACAGTCGAAAAAACATTCCAAATGCAATCTGCAGCTCACAGGGTCACGCCATGCATTCAACTCAGAAGCTGGGCGACGAAACTATATCCAGCCTACAAATGGAGCAAAAATGCATCGGCCACCGTCCGGCAGAAGCAAAAAAATTGCCTCTGTTTCAAACAGTGCCGCTGCCTAACGTCCATTTTGACCAGAAGTCACTGTACCACTGTACACAATTGAAAGGTGGGCTTGGCTTGTGTGATCATGGGACAGCAGCAGTCTACTCACTAGTTTTCAACTGTCACCCTCCAAGAACAGCTAGCTGCCACCAAGACTGCAGTGCCATGAGTAACCACACTCTGTACACAGCTTTATAGTTACTTGTTATTTGTTATCTGTCTCGACATCCTAGCACACCTGCCCAATGCTCGTGCTCTGTCCTCCAATGCAGCAGCCATATCTGTGTCTCCATGCTCAACATACCCAGAACGAGTTGACCGCCATATATCCTTTCTCTGCCCTGCAACCAGTTTCTGCATGTTTGTCCTAGGGTAATAATAATTTCCAAAAGCAGGTCTATCATCTCTGACTCCTTTGTCTCAGAGTCTCTAAAACATACATGCTTATTAGTGACAAGTCAGATGAGACAGATGTGGTGATCTTCACAGACGGGTCCGTTATACGAGGACATAAGAGTGCATGGACATTTACAGCTCGCTCTTCAGGTAGAACAGTTCAGGAAGCTAGCGATGCCTTCTCCATGACCACCAGCAGCATGACGATGGAGGTGATGGCGGTGACACAGGCTTTCATGTGGCTGGGATCACAGGACTATTCCCATGTGTGTGTGTGTGCTGAGTGATTCTTTGAGTATGATCCGGGGGGTCGAGGCAGGCTGGTTACGCAGACAGCGGCTTGAGACATTACAAAATTCTCCTGTGTGTGCAGTTACTTTCATATTCATCTCAGGGCATGCAGGCATTGTGGGTAATGAGAGAGCTGATAGACTGGCAGGTGCTGCATTAATTGAAGATGACGACCCATGGATCACGCAAACATTGTCATTGACCTTAGAGAGATATGACGTTCTGAGAATTTTGGAAGCAACGTGTCCACATCACTGCTAAGAATACGCGAATTGGGAGAAAATATCGGCACAGTTTATTCAGGCATGACTTCTTGATGCTGTCAACCTATTCTAGTCAAAGTTTGCCAGTTTGGATCTTCTTAAGCATACTCAATGAGTCTGTTGCTATCAATGCTGAGCAGCTTTCTGTAGACACAGCTCTAATGATGTAAATATACAGGTTCCGTTAGTGTCACGGGACATATCCCGACTGTGGAGTGGTGTTTATTTCTGTATACATTCTAGTTAAACATTAGGTTCATTTTACGAAGTCCAGCCCAGAAAGAGAGTGGCTTCCCTTGCCATTCATGCCTCATAAGGTCGTAGGACCTCTCCTATGTTGCAGGGTGTTATAATATGTCTTGATTTGGCGTTCGCTTGGGGTATGTAATGTTTGTGGGAGGTTGTGTTGTCAGAGTCTATTTTAGACACCACAGGCACCTGTGTACAAGTTTGAAGTACTACAGCGAGAAGCGCCACAGGCACAACGATTCTTGAGTAACGAATCTAGGATGTTTTTATATTTCTACGTTTACTGTCGGTCGCTTTCCACAGTGACAAAGAAAGCAGTTACACAGAAAGTAATAATAGAAAAATATCGTTGTTTCTATACTCTTGAAGCGTTGCGCAGGTAGCAGCATGTGAAAATAATCATGCAAGCGAGCGATGAGGAGACAGGAAAAGAGGGAACAGTTAAAGCGCTGACAATAAGGAGTACGTGACACCCCCACAACATAGGAGAGGTCCTGCAACCTTACGAGGGATGAATGGCAAGGAAATTCACTCTCATTCTGGGCCGGATTTGGTAAAATGAACCAAAATTAAAGCCGAGGGGTCGACTTCATTGCACCAGATTATCCCATATTGCTCAACCTCTCTACAGAATTGCCAGCCACCTGCCTGTAGCCCAGAACAAAGCACAAACTCCATAACTCCAGCGATGACTTCCAGAGATAGTTAAAAACTGCATTAAGTCTCATACAAAGACATTTAGTCACACTTACCCAGAGCTACCATCCAAGACCAGCCTCTGTCAAGAGGAGGCGGCGTCTTCTCCCTGGCTCTTGCTACTGTCATGGCTGGGGGATTTTTATTGGTCAGTTTTTAGGTCAAGGGTCACTATCTAGGTCAAGGATCATTTCCTGTGGAGGACAGAAATGGGATAGAGGTAAAATAAACAATTAGGGATAATAATTATTATTTACTGGCTTTAAAAAAAAGTAAAGTCGGGAGATGTGAACCAGCGTCATTGCACAAGGTTATAAACCAAAAGTGCTCTGCCACCAGTACCGACAGCTGATAAAAACTGTCCGCCTGTGTCGCCGTTCGCATGTAACTCTGTAGCTACAGCCACGTTTCTCCATTTACCCCAAAGCATCACCTCTGGTACCCATTTCCTAGAGGCTGGGTGAACCCCGAGAACCACCCGGTTTCGAACACCGACCATGGTCTGCAGCGAGTCACAGCTGGATTTGAAAGTGAGCCTCTTATCAACTGCACTAACAGCTAAATTGTCTGTAATGTGTTATTTGAAAAAAAAAAAAACTATATCTTATTTGTAATTCTTTTGTTACCTTTAAAGTGTACTCTGTACATGAAAACTATTACTAGTTATCTTTACTTTGTATGATTTTATACAGAATAATGTTATTTGTTAATTTTATTTTGTTACTATTTCATAAGCGGGAGTCTACGTGGTGTAGCGGCTAGACACTTGCCTGAGGTTCGGAAAGTTCTGGATTCGAGTCTTGCCTGTGCCGTTCTTTTTTTCAAATGACCTTGGCTTCCAGGTCAACCCAGCCTTAAATGAGTACCAGGAGAAGTCCTGGGAAGTAAAGGCATCCGGTGTGATGCTGACCACATTACCCACAAAGTGCCGATCAGCCGAGAAAATGTAGGTTTAGCCCTATGTGCCCAAAATGCTGGAAGGTACGGAAAAGGATCCTTAACTTTTACTATTTCACAAAAATAAATATTTTGTTTTATCTTTACTTTATATTATTTCATAGGATCTAAAAGTTTTGGTATTTTATTATTCTAACTTTATACTATTTTACACTAGCTATATGTTAAATTTGCAGTCCTGGGAAGTAAAGGCGGCCGGCGTGATGCTGCCCACATCACCCACCAAGTGCTGATTGGTCTATAGAAATATGGATCTAGCCCTGTATGCTCAATACGTCTGTAGGGTTCCATTACTTTACTATACGTTAAACTGTTAACTTTATTTCATACTATTTATTTGTTTAATTTGAAAAGATATCAATCCAAATGAAAAGCAGAACTATTCAGTTTCATATTTATCACAATCACAAATGAAAAATGAATGGTGTGGCTAGAAAGCCTTCATCAGCACATGACCATCCGCTACTTATTAGCTTAACTCAAATCTTCTTCTTATTTAAATCCATGCTGTGTGGTGTTGGTAGTCATGTTTATCCACAACATGAACAGCTCAGCTGGTTAAACCTGACTGCGCGGTGACCGGGTGAGGAACTCCTTGTGGTCTGGGTGACGCCCGAGGGTAGGCAGAAAAGCTACATTCCTCCCAGATTTACGGTATCTATCATGGAATCAAGGCCGAAGGGTTGCGATATCCATAGTACCTAGCCAAAGGGTTTACAACTCATGGTTTCTGGTTATTAAAAAAAAAAAAAAAAAAAACTTTTGTCTCGTGTACTTTCAATCAACTCTGACACAGATGATCCTTCATGCCATGATGTCAAACAGTCCAGCATCTTTTCTCTTGGTCTCCCTCTGCCTCTCCTCCCCTCCCCTCCAACTTTCCCCAGTTTTCTCCTTCTCATCACATGATCAAAGAATGTAGATTGCTTCCTTATGATGTGGGCAATCAGTTCTCTTCGTGAGTCAGTTTCTTTCAAGACATCTTCATTACTCTTTTTACATGTCCAAAGTATTCTCATAATTCGTCTATAAAACCATATTTCCGCAGCTTCCAAATAATTCTTTACTAATCTACCAACTGTTCATGATTCACTTCCATATAACAAGTTTGGATTTACATAGCTTTTAGGAATTCTCTTTCTCGCAGCTCCAACTGGTACACCCAGGGTATGCAATCTATTCAGCAGCACTCAAAACGACACGGCTGCTTTGTCTTTTACCCTATAAGCCATGGAAGGGGCAGCAGAGTTCCTTTAGCTCATGTGGGTGTCGTGCCTCTGTAAGTGTTAACCATTCTCGTCAGAAATAGCACCGAAAAAGAGTCTCTCGTGATAATACCATATTATATTAGTTAGTTAGTCTTTCCTCTTGTGTCGAGTGCGGCACATAGGGCAGAGGTCATGACTCTCCATTCATGGCGGTTCGTTGCAATCTGTTGTAGGTCTTGAATGTTTGAGTGGCCCATGAGTGAGCCTTCCCTGATGATAGTTCTACGTAGGGTTTCCCTTGGTCTTCCACAAGATCTTTTCCCCTGTGGTGTCCAAATGAGGGCTTGGTAAGGAAGTCTTGATTTATCCATTCTAAGGGCGTGGCCGACATAGTTCCAGCGGCGTTTTCGTATAAAATTAGACACATACTCTTGCCTGGATTCTTGCCTTATTTGTGTATTGGTTCGGAAATCTGACCATTTGAAATTTAGTATTCTTCTAAGGCATTTATTTTCAAAACTGTCTAATTTTGTGTCTAGAGTTTTCGTTGATTTCCAGCTCTCGCATCCATAGGTTAGTACTGGAATCACACAAGAATTGAAGATCTTGAAGATATTGTATGGAGTGTCAAAAATCCATCAAAGAGCTGCAGTGACCACCTCCACCTCTATTCTCATGCTGGGTACCATTTCTGAATATGCCCACTCCCCCGACCCCACTGTGTGTTATGATCTTGTCCTTCCAATTTGTTACCTGTGATATATCATCTTGACCTCTCACTTCACTGAAATCATCTGTTAGTATAATTATCCGGATCCAAATATGTTCTCACTGTACAACTCCCTACATTGTAAGACAGAAAGTATACTATCTAAGAAATTTTTTGAAGGAGGAGATAAACATGGGTAAAAAAGTGAAGGCTGATGAAGAAGAAGAAGAAGAAGAAGAAGAAGAAGAAAAAGAAGAAGAAGAAGAAGAAGAAGAAGAACGAATGAACTTTATTTTCAAAGGGTTACAAATTGGGCACGCAGGCCCGTCTGACATTCGGCCCTTCTAAGCACTCATTTTTCAAAGTACCAATCAATAATGCATGTTATGGATATAATAAAGAAATATACATTATAGAATAATGCATACACACATCATGTGTACACAATCTTACACACTCACACACACGTATATATACTCTTACATTCTCATACATGCACACTCATATACAGATATACCTAATACATACACAAACAGAAAAGACACACACATACATATATGGACATTCATACACACACATTCCATACATACACACCTACACATGCATGCAGAATACAGAAGGCTACCACATCCAGAATTAACATGTTTACCGCCGCACAGTTTTTACACACTAATAGTCTGTACTACCAGTCAGAGTGTGAGCACAGAATCAACAGTTTCAGAACCACTGTGGCACAGAATCAACAGTTTCAGAACCACTGTGGCGCAGAATCAACAGTTTCAGAACCACTGCGGCACAGAATCAACAGTTTCAGAACCACTGTGGCACAGAATCAACAGTTTCAGAACCACTGTGGCACAGAATCAACAGTTTCAGAACCGCTGCGGCACAGAATCAACAGTTTCAGAACCGCTGTGGCACAGAATCAACAGTTTCAGAACCACTGCGGCACAGAATCAACAGTTTCAGAACCACTGCGGCACAGAATCAACAGTTTCAGAACCACTGCGGCACAGAATCAACAGTTTCAGAACCACTGTGGCACAGAATCAACAGTTTCAGAACCACTGTGGCACAGAATCAACAGTTTCAGAACCACTGCGGCACAGAATCAACAGTTTCAGAACCACTGTGGCACAGAATCAACAGTTTCAGAACCACTGTGGCACAGAATCAACAGTTTCAGAACCGCTGCGGCACAGAATCAACAGTTTCAGAACCACTGTGGCACAGAATCAACAGTTTCAGAACCACTGCGGCACAGAATCAACAGTTTCAGAACCGCTGCGGCACAGAATCAACAGTTTCAGAACCACTGTGGCACAGAATCAACAGTTTCAGAACCACTGCGGCACAGAATCAACAGTTTCAGAACCACTGCGGCACAGAATCAACAGTTTCAGAACCACTGTGGCACAGAATCAACAGTTTCAGAACCACTGTGGCACAGAATCAACAGTTTCAGAACCGCTGCGGCACAGAATCAACAGTTTCAGAACCACTGTGGCACAGAATCAACAGTTTCAGAACCGCTGCGGCACAGAATCAACAGTTTCAGAACCACTGCGGCACAGAATCAACAGTTTCAGAACCACTGCGGCACAGAATCAACAGTTTCAGAACCACTGTGGCACAGAATCAACAGTTTCAGAACCACTGTGGCACAGAATCAACAGTTTCAGAACCGCTGTGGCACAGAATCAACAGTTTCAGAACCACTGCGGCACAGAATCAACAGTTTCAGAACCGCTGCGGCACAGAATCAACAGTTTCAGAACCACTGCGGTACAGAATCAACAGTTTCAGAACCACTGCGGCACAGAATCAACAGTTTCAGAACCACTGCGGCACAGAATCAACAGTTTCAGAACCACTGTGGCACAGAATCAACAGTTTTAGAACCACTGTACACATTAAATAAACAAAGTAACAAGTAAGCAAGGAAGGCTATCGTGCTATCAGCCAGCCACCAGACACCAAGGGTGCTATGTAACTGTCAACTGAATAATTTGTTGATTATTTACAAGATAATTATATGCAGGGGTTTTGGTTTGTAACGGTCCTTTTTTTAGGCATCGTTTTTTGTTTTCAGCACTTCTGTAATACACAGAAGCCGCCGTGGTGTAGTGGCTAGACGCTTGCCTGCGGATATGACAGTCGTGGGGTACAAATTCGGACGATCTCTTCCCTCTCCCCAACCCCATGACTTTGACCTCTAGGTCGACCCAGCCTCAAATGGGAACCAGTCATGGGAA